CTTCCTTCCTTCCTTCCTTCCTTCCTTCCTTCCTTCCTTCCTTCCTTTCCTTCCTTCCTTCCTTCCTTCCTTCCTCCCTCCATGTTCCTAGCACTCCTCTATTCATCATCAGCCGCCTCCTCCTCTTATATTTGACCGAGTAAAATCTAAATACATGCTTGCCTCTGATCAGACCCAGAAGACTACTATGAGGTGCTTGAATTTTGAATTCGCACACGCTGGTCTATAACTTTTTGTAAAATGTGGAGCATGAACGATTAAAAGAAGGATTTGAGACAACCATTTGTGTGAAATGATATAAGGCAGGGGTTCCCAATGCCCGGGTCGTGGCCCAATCCTGGGCCATAGCCTATTCACAACTGGGCCTTGAGTCAGCACACATGCATGCGTGCGCAGCTCAACTTGCATGAACAGAGAGCTGGCGAGCACGTGTATATGCACTGGCCTGCCATTTGCATGAGTTGAGCTGCGTGTGTGTGTTTGTGTATATGTGTGTGTGTGTGTGTGCCAGCCCGCTTGTGTAAGTTGCACATGCACCTATGTGCATCGGCTTGCTGCTCACATGGCCCTGTTCCCCTCTCTACCCTCCAGCCAGGCCACCAAGCCACAAAGATTGAGGACCACTGGTGCTGGGCTTCCTGCCTGAGCAGAGGATTGGACTAGAAGACGTCCAAGGTCCCTTCCAACTCTGTTATAAAAAATGGTTCCACTCGTGTACTCTCTTTATCTAAGCTTTCTTTTTCATTGTGCCCTGCTAACATGTCTATCAGTACCTGATTGCTCTTCCATGAAGGCAGTCAGGGTGTTGTGCATTCGGTTCACAATTGTTCCCCATCTATGTCCTGACCAAACTGAGACCTGCTTAGCTTCAGGTATTCTCAGATCATGTCATGTTGGGTAGGTTTAAGATCCTAGGCTCAACCCCTTCATTAAAGCAAACAGTTAAGAACTGTATCTAGCATTTCTCCAGGCTAGAAATTTTAAAAAAAACAAAGCCTACACCACCTCAGAAAAATTTAAACGAAGTTAAAAGAGATCCCATCATTTCAAGAAATCTAGGATTCCAAATTTGCAATTAACTTTTTCTCCCATTATTATGACTCCCACTATATTCCTAATCAGGTTATATATTTCATTTACTGGAATGTAGTCAAACTCATATACCTGCAACTATCTGTTTCCTTATCTGTTGTGACCCTTTCAACCTGCCTTGAAATGGCTGGGTACAGAAGACTAGCAAAAGATGACATTTTGCATAAATAACTTTACATACTTTATCAGATACAGAACCAATGAAGTATTAATACACTGTGCACCCAGTTCATTATGCGTCATTCTTTCAGCAGGACAGGTATATGATTTTAGCATGAATTAGTCAAAATTGATAGGGAAATCTCTTACTTTGAGCTTGGTTTGAATTTCCCGTGTTTTTCGCCGGGCCAACACCTGGATGTGACTGGAGACCTGAGAAAGGGTTCAGAGATAGAAAAAAAAACATAAAATGGTTTGAAAGAGACAATAGCAGATTTCATTCCATCTCCCTCAAACTTAATTCTTATAACTTACAGCTCCCTGCCCAAACTTCTTGTTTACCTGTTTCCTTGTCCGTGTTTTCCCAGTCCTCAACTTAATATAACGGGCAATGAGCTCATTACGACCTGCAAGACAAGAAATGGGAAAAGAGAAAACGAGAAAAACAGTTGGGAAATAAAAACATACTATCTGCTGTTATGAGCTCCATGTGGGACGAGAACATTTTTTTCAGGTCATTCTGTCTGGCCGTGCCATTGTTAGTAAACCAAATGGCTACATTAGCAGAGGGAAAGCTTGGATCTCAGATGTCTCAAATTCTGGATCATGTGGATAAGTAGATACCCAGATTTTATATTTTACAGACAGACAGACAGACAGACTAGATGGATGGATGGAGGGAGGGAGGGAGGGAGAGAGAGAGAGAGAGAGAGAGAGAGAGAGAGAAGAGAGAGAGAGAGAGAGAGAATAGAGAGAGAGAGAGAGAGAGAGAGATTAGATTAGATACAGACAGACGATAGACAGACAGACGGATGGATGGTGGATGAGGGGTGAATAGATGGATGGATGTATAGACAGACAGACAGACAGACAGATCTGTCCATGTCATGTACCATAAATCTGAGTATATACGGAACAATAAAAATCATAAAAAACACAACAAAAACTCCCAGCACCCCAAAGGCAACACATTTCTACACAGCCAGATTCAAATCTAACTTCTGGGCTCTAACTTCACTCATCGCTCTGGCTGGGGAATTCTGGGAGCTGAAGTCCATATGTCTTAAGGTTGCCAAGGTTGAGAAACATCATTCTAAGTCTAAAATGCTGGTGGTTCCCTCTGCTTTGTTTTTATGAGAGCCTCGAGAAGATTCACTGTGCACAATTTCACTGCACCCAGGACTCTGCCATTCAAACGTGCAAGCTGATAAATGCAAGCTGACCTTGCATTTATGTTTTCGGAGAGATTAGAACCATGTCCATCGTTTTTAAATTGAACTCAATCCTATGTATTTTTTTTTTTTAAAAAACTGTATTCTGTGGTATCCACAAGCGTTTTCATAAAGAATCATGGGGTTGGAAGGGATCTTAGAGATCATCTAGTCCACCCCTACTCAGTGCAGGAATGGAAATTCGGGATAGGGAAGCTGAGGCTCACATGTCTACCTACCATACATCTTTCCGTCATCTGAAAGAATGATTTTGCGCCTCCCGCAGGGTGGGTAGATTGCCAGCGCCTCCTGGAAACTCTGCTCAATGTCCGCGCTCCATATTCCTTCGGCATCACTATCCAGACCCTTTCCCCCAGCTTCCCCCATCTCTCTGGAGGGGCTGGCCTCCTTTGCACAGCTCTATAATGCCAGGAGAGATACCTAGGAGCAGAAAAGCAGAAGAGACGTTGAATCTGAGTTAAGGCTTCCTAAAACCAATTCAACAGCAGCAAAAGGGAAAGTGGTCCATTCAAGGAACTGTTTGCAATCTAATCTTTTCTAGATACAGGTAGTCCTAAACTTACAACCATTCATTTAGTGACCATTTAAAGTTATTACAGCACTGAAAAAAGTGACTTCAGATCATTTTCACACTTATGACCGTTGCAGCATCCCCATGGTCATGTGATCAACATTTGGGTGTATGGCAATTGGCATATATGGTAATTGCAGCATGTGTTCACTTTTTGTGACCTTCTGACAAGAAAATTAATGGGGAAGCAAGATTCACATAACCTTGTTTAGTAACAGAAATTTTGGGCTCAGTTGTGGTTGTAGGTCAAGGATTCCAATGGATTGCATTGGATTACATATCCTATCACTTTCAGCCAGCATAGTAAAACGGGTGTTGCAGTAGAAAAAATTAAAAACCATCTCTCCACAAATCCTCAATTTGGGTCTCCCAGGTTTTATTAGACTATCGCTTTGATCACACATTTGGATCTGGTTGGGAAGAACGGAACTGCACTCCACCATCATTTGAGGGTCCAAAGCCAAGAACATCAGAGATAAATGATTTTGTGTGGCAGTTCTGAAAAGATAGAATATTTGCAAAGCTGATATAAGGGAAGAGAAAGAGCACCGGCTTATATATAAAGAAGCAGACCTTCATAAGACCAATCAGGCTTGAAAAACAGGGTTCAGTTCCCCTGTTTTAAAAAGACAAACAAGGAATTTGGATGCTGACAAACCAATCCCAATGCACACTTTGTTTTCACTATTTTTGTTTAAAGATGGTATCTGTTGGTATAAAAAAAATCTTTAATTCCTTCCTTCCTTCCTTCCTTCCTTCCTTCCTTCCTTTCTTCCTTCCTTCCTTCCTTCCTTCCCTTCCCTTCCCTTCCCTCCACTGTATTTGCAATCCACCCTAATCCCAAAATACTCAGGGCAGCCCACAAAATCACCCAAGAGAAAACCAAAATCATCATCGTAACTAATTTGAACAACAAAAATAACCACAAAAAGAAAAGCAACTACAAAAAGCAAAGTAAAATTTAAACTCGATAAAAATTAAGTTTGATCTATGCTCAGTGGAGACTGAAGGTGTATTGAAACAAAGCCATTTTAACCTTTTGTTTTTTAATTGTGGTAAAGTGGGGGTTGCATATAATTTGTGGGGGGAAGTGTACCATAAGCAGGTGTTGGCTGACATATCCTGATGCTGTGGAGTTGCTTTAAAGAATGTCCAAGTCTTTGCATTGAGCATGGAAGCCTAACAGCAAGTGAAGAAGTGACTTTAATATACGTATTATACTACCAATAATCCTGCTGCTATATTTTATACTAGCTGCAGTTTTGTTTATCTCCAAAATCAGCTGCAGGTCAAGCCCATTGTGAAGACAACCTCAGAACTGGGGCTCCTTACAGTACTGTATGTCGGTACCTCACCAAAATGTCTATGCCTTCAACCTATAGAACTGCTTCTGAACTCAAGGTGGCGGGAAAGATATTCCCTTATGAGTTTCAATCATCCACCACCAGGGGTGGGATTCTACCGATTCTGTCCGGCTCTGTAGAACTGGTAGCTTTGAAGAGCAGCAGACACAGAACTGGTTCTGTGTCTGCTGCTGTTTTGGCCCACCCACCTGCCCGGGCTCTTACCTGATCTTTATTTCCTGCTTTTTCAACCTCAGCTGCTTTGCGTGGCACAGCTGCGGTTAAAAAAGCAGGAAAAAAGTGGTTTTTCAAAGGCTGCACACCTGCGCGTTGTAAATGTAAATCACAGAACCAGTAGTTACACCAGTCGAATCCCACCCCTGCCCACCACCACTGAGCCAACGCATTATGAACTGAATTTCTCCTGCATAGTGTCCCATCCCCAACTCACTTCTTACACTGACCTCCTCAGTTCAGACGAATCTGTTCCTTCTACTGTAACACCAGTTAAAGGGAAAAGAGAGAGAAAATGCAGGAAAAGATTTACAGATGCGATTAGGAAAACACAAGTAAGGAAAGTTGCAAAAAAAAGTATCATCAACTTCATCCCGAAGTCAATAGAGAGGCTGTAAAAAAGTATGCATCTAATAACCCCTACATTAATCAGGCAGCTACATTGAATACAATTAAAAAGTATCACAAATTGGATCAACCTCTTGGATTAAGTATTTGTCTGGTTTTAAATATGAACCCCCAAGGAAAAGATTGTTGATCTCAGACCTCGGTTACCTTATGTCTGGTGCTGTGTCCTGCAGTGGCAAGATGAGACTCCCAAGATGTTCTGCAGTGGCAATAGAGTCCAGCTCCTCCCCTTGAGCCTTATCCTAAATTCTTACACAGCCTTCTCACCCACCAGCATCGAATGGCAGAGCACTTTCATTCTGCTGCCCGGAAGTACAACAGATGCTTCCAAATGAGCTCTTTTGGAGCCAGAGAGGTAAAGGAGGGAAATTTTATGCCAACATTCAAATTGCAAGGCCAGGTCTTGCAGGATAGAGAATATCACAATATCACAGGATAGAGAATATCATGGTGGGGCCTCAGCAGCAGCCTTCATTTCTCCAGATATACTTCGTTGGTGATGTGATACAAGGACAAATTTAAATTCTCATATGTAACCCAATATAATAATTTGGATTCTGCCCTACATATTGTAAGCTGCTTTGTCTCTTAGATAGCCAACTGCCATGTAAAAAGCCCAAACTGAATAATTTTATAACAACCATGAAAGAGAGGTTAGCTGGCAAGGCTAACCTTTTTCAGTCTAGCTAAGAAGAAGCCCATAACTAAATGGACCTCTATTATTAGATAGTTCTTAATAGCTTGACATCTAGTTATTTAACAGAAGTTACTGCTGATATTTGTAATCTGCATATAATAATGTTTGTTGAAAAACCAGGGGTGGGCTTCAGTGTCAATGGTGGAACAGTTCAGTGCTGGTTCTTAAAATGTATTCTTATGCCAAACTTGGGCTTGGAAATTTAACATTATTTCAAGTGCGTGAGCACTACTCAAATCACTAGCTGCGGTTGGTAGATTCTTGACTCAAGAAAGCCAAGAAATATATAAACAAGCCTTACAACCTTGACGTCTGCTGATGTTTTGCACTCGGGTAATCTGGAATTACACTTATCACAAAGATGTTTTGTAGAAATAAGGCGCCTATTGCAATGTTTCTTAACCTTGGCCACTTGAAGATATGTGGACTTCAATTCCCATAATTTCTTAGCAGGAATTGGTTGAAGCCCATACATCTTCCTGAGGCCTAGATTGAGAAATATTGCTCTAATGGATGATTAGGGTGATATAATTAGATTGAAGACCCAAATAAATTTGCCCATTTGGTTTCTCTGTCAATTTCCCATTTTTGAAGATCAACTTTGTCTAATATAACCAATATTAGCAAATATATGCATTTTTTATATTGTTATGCATAAACATTTTAGAGGCTGGAAACTTTTCCATTATAACAAATATTTTTTACTAGCATTCTTGATTGGAAATAAAAGTAAAATCAAGCTGCAACTACACTTTGGCTCAAAAAATCAGATAAAGTCACTTTCAAATGCAGATTAAATAAATATACTTTATTCATTTTACATAGCCATCCATCTTACATCAAATTTTGGGTGGCTCCTAATCAACAATTAAAACAATATCAATAAAAACCAGCATTATATATAAATATTTTAAAAATATTAAAAGATATAATTTTAATATCTTTAATATAAACATTAAAAACCTGGAACCAAAGTAAGGCTTCCAACATCCTGGTTAAATCATCTCATCTGCCTCAACCTATGTAAGCACTTGAAGGGAAAACAAAGTTTTAAATGCTAGTCAGGAGGTGGGGGGAGGGGTGACGTAAATGCTTCCTGAATCTCATAAAGGGAATTCCATAGGGCAGGGGCTACCATGGAAATGGCACCTTTCCTTAATCCCATAGGAAGGTAATGTTGAAAGGAAGGGACTTGGAGTGTTCCCTCTATCTGACCTGGCAGGAAGGGTAGACATCCTTAGGGTGAGGTTGTCCTGCAGATAACCAGGCCCTGTGTCATATAGCTAGCCGTCGACTAGCAACCATTCATTTAGCGGCCCAAGTTGCTATGGCACTGAAAAAAGTGACCGACTTGTACCCATTTTTCACACTTATGACTGTTGCGGCATCCTCATGGACATGAGATCAAAATTCGGATGGTTCACAAGTGACTCATATCTATGACGGCTGCAGTGTTCTGGGATCACATGATCACTTTTTGCAACCTTCTATCAAGCAAGTCAATGGGGAAGCCAAGATTCACTTAACAACTGTGTTATCAACTTAACAATTGCAGCTTATTCACTTAATAACTGCAGTAAGAAAGATTATAAAATGGGCGAGAACTCGTGTAACAGCTGTCTCACTTAGCAAGAAAAATTTTGGGCTCAGTTGTGCTTGTAAATCAAGGATTACCTGTATAAGGCTTAAAAGGTAATAACCAGCATCTTCAATTGCATCCCGGAAGGAACCCGGGAGCAAGTACAGTTCAAGCAACATGGATATTATATGGCAGGCGTTCATTTGTGCATACACAAGATCTAGGTTGCACGTGTGAAACCATCCCCCCTCCACCAGACTGTGGAGCCAGAAAGATGGGGGACCGCTGTTATATGGGCAAATCCAGGGGCATCCAGCACTGTGTGTACCTCCAGATTCTGAATTAATTGTAGCTTCTGAGTAGTCTTCAAAAGTAGCTTCATATAGAATGCATTGCAGTACAGGTAATCCTCCAGTTACGATTGTTTGCTTAGTGACCATTTGAAGTTATGACAGACCTCTCCAGGGGTACTTATGACTTGGTTCTGAAATTCTAACAGCTTCCCCAACAACTAGCCTGCATTTATAGCTGTTTGCTGTGTCCTGTGGTCATATGACCGCATTTAAAGACATTTTTGCCAAAACCCAGCATTTACTTCTGGGTTTCAGCAAAACTGGCCCAAGACAAACAATTGTTTTGCTTAACAACTGTAGCATGGCTGCCACAAAAAATGGGCAAATTTGGATCAGTCATAAGAGTGACTCACTTTACGACCATAATGACTTACGACTTTATTGGGCAGGCTCCATTACAGTTGTAAGACAAGAATTACCTGCAATTCAAATGGGAAGTGACCAATGCATGAATGACCCTCTCCTTCACTTCTTCTACATCCTCAGGGTGAGGGCATATAGTTAAACAACTCAGCCAACACAGCACAAAGGCCCCCTGTTCTTTACATGCATTGTGGCACATAAAACAGGCAGAAATCTTATCATGGCTGCCATCTTGATTTTTTTGACCTCACTCTGTGGCTCTGTAGATACCCCTGGAGAAAAGCTTTCCTTACACACACTCAGTGGGCAGCCAAAACTATAAATTATACTGCAGAAGGTATTTGAGGAGCATAATAATAATAATTCTGTAGGGAAGGGGTGTCAGAAGGAAGCAGGAAGAATTATGGTTACCAGTTAAACAAATGTGCTAAAGAGGCAAGCTTCCAAAAAGTTTTTTTTTAAGTGGATTAGAATAAAATAATAGAACAGAATAACAGAGTTGGAAGGGACCTTAGAGGTCTTCTAGTCCAACCCCCTGCTGAAGCAGGAAACTATACCATTACAGACAAATTCTTGTCCAATTTCTTCTTAAAAACCTCCAATAATGGAGCACCCACATACCCTCTAATTTACAGATACTCCTTGGGGTGATCCATTGTGCCAAGAGTTTTGCTTAGATAAGAATTAAGCACTGGTTTGTGTTTATGAACCATGGCTTAACATAAATACAACCAACTGTGGTTTATTCAATAAACAATGATCAAACTTAAGTCAGATTACTATAAGTAAGAAAGCTGTAACTAGCCGGAGGCTGGCACTCAGAAAGTACAGTATCATGCTGGGAAATGAAACAGATCTAAAATGCAATTTTCTGAAGGGAAGATCAAATCCCCACACACATACTACCCTTCCAGAGTGGAAGTCCAGCATATACTAGTTAAGCTTCATCCAGAGAAAATATACCCCTCAAAGAAAGAGGGAGACCCACCCTCACTTTGTCCCCTCCCAACCTATGCTGTTTCTTGTCAAGTTGAAACCCAGTTCTCTGCTTGGTTATTCCAGTTCAGATGACCCCTGGAGCACAGTTCATCACAAGACAAAGAAACCCTCCAGCCTGGATTACATCTTGCATTAAAGACAGGAAGAGGGTTAGCTCTTTCATCTCCAATCGGATTTTTCCTCTTCTTTTTATACACAGCATTTTGGCCTGTTTCCTTTCCTTCATCAACCACAAGGCTGCAACAGCTACAGTCAAATAACATTTTTTTTACATTATTATGACTATTTTACAAAGTACTAAATCACTTCCCTAAATCAGAGCCCCCAGCTTTTTCAAACCCGAGCCAAGGACATGGATCTATGGAAGTTAAAACAACTTATTTGTTTTGACTCTGCTCTGACGTTATGACTCTGCTCTGACGTTTCCCCCCTGGTTTTGAGAATCAATTTCCAAGTACCGTTATGGAGGAAAGCTGTTATTTGGAGGAACATCCCTTCAACAAAACTCCACTTCACACGTCCTGGGACTATTTCCCACTCAATTCAATTTCCTGTTTCTACCCTTGCAGTCTCGAAACCACTAATATATAAGTGATTTTCAGAAAGAGTCCTAGTTCTGAAGCAATGAGCCATAGAAAGATCTAAATCAAAGGTAATTGTGTGTCCCTCACAGAAAAAAAAGTGAGTTCAAAAAAAAAGGATAAACACTGAATTTGCCTTGAAAACACTTAACTTATCAAAGAAAAAGGAATAAAAAAACCTGACATTAAAAAAAAACCTGAACAATTTTCTTCTTTATGGATAAATATTTTCAAAGCAACAGTATCAAAACATGAGAAGAAAATGGATGCTGAATCGGGTTTCTTAAGTGCTATCACAACATATACCTAAACTAGTAATTGCTAAAGAAGATGAGTGTATAGTACAGCTGTGACAGTACAAAGCTGAAGGGTTTTACTATAGAAATGAGTCAACCATTCTAAGATGACGCCAATTGCCACCCTAATCTATATTCTTGCTACAGCAAATCCACACATAAAGATAAAACAAAGAACAGCAAAATGTATGAGTGAAGGGGTGAGATCAGGTACTTGTAATGCAGAATTGAACCACTGGCAGTGTTTGATTTACTTTATGGAGGTTTTTTTAAATAAGAAATGGCTTGAGTTGCACAGGAAGTTAAGAAAAGTAGGCTGCTTGTGCCCTCCACCCAGCAATAATGGGCCCCAGCCTTATCCTGTAATTTGAGTAACATAAGCACCCATGTGAAAGGTCATGTTTGTTTTTGGAACAAGTCACATCAAGGTCTTGGGCAAATGGAAACTGCTGTAGACAAATCTCTCTTTCACACATGGGGGGGAAGAAGAGGAGGGAGCATTAGTTAACTAGGCCTTCTCTCCTTTGAAAGCAATCAAATGCAGAAAGCACCACACACTCACATTAGTAATCATCATATCAGACATCCCATATGAAACATGACAACCTAATCACAATTCATCTCCGAAAAAAGAGAGAAAACTTTGGAGAGTACCATAATGACATTGCTGATGCTACTCATATTCTGAAATAAATCAACTTTGGGAAACATTTTTCTCTTTTTTAAATCCCTGCTATCAACTCAAAGTGCATCATAAAAAAACAGTTCTTCTAGATGCTGTTCTAAAATCTTTTCCTAACTGTGATGAAGGCATCTGTCAGAACAACATGGGAGAAATTGAACCAACAAAGATACAAAACTGGAAGATCAGGATCTACCAGGAGACTTCCAAGATGATTTATTGTATATTGTCAATGTTTTCCGACCCCTGAGGTTTAACACGACAGCAATAGAAAGGTTATTGACCTATATTTGCACATTTACTGGAGTCTCAGTATTCCTGGCTATAAAATGGGGTTTTGTTTATGCTGGCAAGCAATTTTGTTCCTCAGGATTGCAAGTAAAAACGAGCAGGCAGAAAATAGGTACACAATAAGATCTCCTGAACAATGCACAAAAATCACTAGGAATGGAAGTTAAAGTTTACTTATCGATAAATCCCCGAGTTCTACTAAAAAGCAAAGCTCACACCCCCCCTTTCCCCAGTTGTTTTCTTCTGGCATAGAATACAATCCCTGGAAATTACACACAGCAGAATGTCAAACTTGGGACTTCCTACTGCCACAGAATGCAAGAAATTACTTTTGCTTTAGCCTGCATGGATCCAGATTACAGGTTCTTCACTGTTCACTGAATTAATTATTTTTTAAAAACACTTAGTTTTATGATTTATAATTGGAAAAGTTTTCAACTTGTTAATATGGTTCTAAATTCTGACATGCCAATTGTTTTAAAATTATCCTCCCTTATCTGGCTCAAGTTTATCATTATGTATACTCACAAATAAGAAATATTTTTGCTGCTCTTATTATTTTTATTGGGTGCCAGCTATGATTGTGGCTTTGCATCCCTTCCTGAATTACAGCCCAGTTTCCCAAAATGTAATCAGCAATGGAATTTACACACCTTTCATTGAAACTCTCAAAGCTGATCCCTTTGCAACCAACACTGTTGGCACACTCAGACTAATAAACTCTTGGTTTAAAAACAAAACGTTATCAGTTTCCTCCCCTTTCTCCAGACAAAGAAAAATGTCCAGGTACACAATCCATGTATGCAAATGAGTGATTCTTTTCTCCAGCCTTTACTTCAAGCTTTCTCATGTATAATACTTTTTTCCCCATGTAAACAGAGCTCTCCGTTTGCTTCTTAAGAACACAGAACGAAAGTAAGACATGCTGCATGTGAACAATCGTTTGGAAACGGGCACTCATAGTTAGGTTAGATGACAAATGTTGATTTTTAGAAATATCCAATCAATTGAGAAATAAAAACAGTTCTACATATATACCTCCTTAAAATCCCAGACCAAACCCCCCCATTTAAATTCAAGGGTAAACGTATTTCCACCCACCTCACAAATAGAGAAAGTTAATTGCAGTATTACTTTCCCGTTCCGCAGCAGAACCTGTTTTTTTAATCAGTATCTTTTCTAATAGGATTTGTTCTCAACAGGAATCTGATTAATCACTTTTTTTTTTTAAGAAAAGGATGAATTGGAAGGGAAAAGAGTCTTACTTACTTTCAGAAGACACTCAAGAGCTTGGTTTTGTGTGTGCTAGTGGAGGAGAAAAGTGGGAAAGGAAAGGAAAAACTTTATCTGAACTTTTGCTTTATTAAAAAAAAAAGTTGTGAAGGACAAGGAAGAAAAAAAAGTGAGAGATAATAATGAAGCGCTCCACTGGCAGGGTTAATTTTGGCTCCTCCAAGAAGTTACTGCCCACTCATTAGGATTGGGAAAAAAAGAAGAGCTAAGATGTGGTAGTGTATGCAAAGAAGCAACAGGCCTGCGTGGTATTTTGGAAAGGTGACAGTTTTCCTCTGGAATCCTTGGAATGAAGCAGAGGAATTAAATTAGCAGCAGTGAGTCAGTTTCGGGAGGGGGGGGAGGAAGGGGCGGAGTCGGAGGCAGAAAGAGGCGGGGTCTAGAAGACTGATATCACATCCCCACGGGAGGAAAATGTTGGATGGGAAAGGAATTGGGAGAAAGAATGGGTCTACCTTGATCATGATGAGTCTTGAAAAACCTGTGACAAAGCAACCGGTGTATAATCAGGTTCTGCACTGATAATTTTCAGAAAATTTAGATGGCATTTAAAAGAAATCTGACAAGCTAATATTCATGGATGAGTGCCAGCTAAAAATTCAAGCAGTATTCCAGGTAAATACTACTTTGGCAGCCAATTGTCTTTCCTGAATGCCAGTAGCTGAAAACAAGAATGGGCTGTTGCCTACAGATTCTTCCTGAGGCATTTAATTGGTAGTGGAGTGAACCAGGTATTGAAATAAAAGTCTTATATTGGCCTATATTTGATTTATTTCCTGTCTTTATTTTTATAAGTCACTCAAGGAAATGAACATATCTGATATTTCTTCTTCCTCGTATTTTCTTCACAACAACAACAACCTTGTTAGGTAGGTAGGTTGGGAGAGAGAGAAAGTGATTGACCTGAAGTCACCCAGCTGGCTTTCATGGCTAAGACAGGACTTGAACTCCCAGTTTTCTTCCTTTCAGCCTGGTGCCTTAACTACTAAGCTAAATTGATCACCCCAGCCATTGTGGTTTGTAAACATAAATTATAAACACAGCTTGGAGGAACAGTGCTAAGTTTTCTTATTCAATGACATTGTAACTTCAAACAGTTGATGAATGAACGGTTGCTAAGCAAGATTTGTGTAAATCAAACCAAATCATTTATTCAGTAAAATATGCGATGCAAATCAGGACACAGAATCAAGACAATTGGTGAAAACTATCTAGAACTAGGTTCACACATGATTTAAGCCATGGTTTGTTTTAATAGTTTTTTTTAAATATCACAATTCTTACACTGCACTAAGCCATAAACACAGTTTGCTGACCACCATGGCTGGATTTACATTCTAAACCAAAACCAAACAATTCTTTATAGTTGTAGCTTGGTGGGTGAACTTAGACTGTGATTGGCAACTGCTTTCCAGAGTTTAAGATATGGCTGGGAAAGACTTATCTTAAATTTCAGATATAAGTGATTTTGGATCTTTCAGTTCTAAAGTATGCCCCATAGCTATAGCATTTCATCCCCCACTCACAGACAAGATGATCTGATCAAACAAGACTTATGCTTTACTGTTCCCAGGGCTCTTTAGGATGTGTGTAAAACAAGAAAAAGATAAGAGAGAAAGGATAAAATACTTTAAAATGGAGGATGAGTGGTAAGACTTGAGGGACAGAGTACAATATGTTCATTCAAATAAAGTATTTGAATTCAGGCACATGTATTCACATATAAGTGCTAGATTACTGCTTCAGGGTAGTCAGCTCGAATATAATTCCTATTGTGTCTTGGGACCAAAAGTCCAGAATTATAGGGTTGGTAGGATACATTTTGTGTTATGAATCTGGCTTTTAGGATATTCTTAAAGTAGTAATTGTTATCATCATATTAAAAGTACAGATGGCAAAAAAGGACCATATCAACCATAACAGTGTTTTTTCCCCCCATAGGTAGTGTCATTTAGCTTCCATCTCTATGTGAGACCAGCCATTGTGGTTTGTACAGTGGGTTATGGCTTATTGTTTCTTTAAATTTATTGGTTATCCAGTTATATCGATGCATACAATGCATAAAAATTGTATGTCATTTTAAAAAAATAAACTGCTGTCCTAGTCTTTTGATGTCAGTTTCAAAATTTGATGCTTTAAATCTATTTTCTTTTAATTAAATAGATGAATTAAATTTTCATCTATACGAACAATGTAAAAATAAAAATATGGAGTGGGGAAATAGATTTAAACCTCCTAATTGCACAGTTGCAGTTATGAGATTTGCTGCAATGAGAGGGAAAAAAGTGAAATCACAGGATCTCTGCAACTAAGACTGATTTTAGAATTTCATCCCACAGAACACAAGGATATAAAGTGTAGATTAGAATAGAATAGAATAGAATAGAATAGAATAGAATAGAATAGAATAGAATAGAATAGAATACTTTATTGTTCAAGAGTGATTGGACACACAAGGAATTTGTCTTGGTGCAAATACTCTCAGTATACATAAAAGATACATTTGTTAAGAATCAAGTATCAAAACGTACAACACTTAATGATAGTAATAGGATACAATCAGCAATCAAATCATACTAGGAAACAGTCAATATAAATCGTAAAGATACAAGCGACAAAGTTACAGTCCAACATTCACAAGTGGGAGGATCAGTGATAAGGAATGATGAGATTAACAGTAACAGTAGTGCAGACTTTGTAATAGTTGAACAGTGTTGAGGGAATTATTTGTTTAGCAAAGTGATGGCTTTCGGGAAAAAACTGTTCTTGTGTCTAGTTGTTCTGGTGTGCAGTGCTCTATTGAGTCGTTTTGAGGGAAGGAGTTGAAACAGTTTATGTCCAGGATGTAAGGGGTCTATAAATATTTTTACAGCCCTCTTTTTGACTCGTGCAGTATACAGGTTCTTGATTAAAGGCAGGTGGTTAGTAATTGGGTTTTTTTGCAGTCCTAATTATCCTCTGAAGTCTGTGTCTGTCCTGTTGGGTTGCAGAACCAAACCAGACAGTTATAGAGGTACAGATGATAGACTCAATAATTCCTCTGTAGAACTGATTCAGCAGCTCCTTGAGCTTTCTGAGTTGGCGCAGAAAGAACATTCTTTGTTGTGCTTTTTTGATGATGTTTTTGATGTTAGGTGTCCATTATAGTTCATGTGATATAGTAGAACCTAGAAATTTGAAGGTCTCTACTGTTGATACTGTGTTGTCTAGTATTGTAAGAGGTGGTAGTATGGGAGGGTCTCTTCTAAAGTCTACCACCATTTCTACGGTTTTGAGTGTGTTCAGTTCCAGATTGCTCTGGTTACACCACAAGGCAAGTTGTATAACCTTCTGTCTGTATGCAGATTCATTGTTGTTTCGAACGAGACCAATCACTGTTGTGTCATCAGCAAACTTCATTATTTTAACAGATGGATTGTTTGAGATGCAGTCATTGGTATATAGAGAGAAGAGAAGTGGAGATAGCACACAGCCTTGAGGGCCCCCTGTGCTGATTGTACAGGTATTGGATGTGATTCTGCCTACTTCACCTGCTGCTTCCTGCCTGTTAGGAAGCTTATGATCCACTTACAGGTGTGTTCAGGTACCGCTAGTTGGTTTAATTTACTTAGAAGAATGTCTGGAATGATGGTATTGAATGCTGAACTGAAGTCTACAAAGAGGACCCTTGCTTAGGTATTTGGAGATTCAAGGTGTTGTAGGATGTAATGCAGAGTGTAGAAAGTTAGTACCCACCCCCCTCCTAGATGAATGAAATATTATAGAAAATACTAAAAAGGCAGAATATTATACCTCCCTGCATGAGAAAAGAAGAACCATGCTCTTGGAAAACAGCTCCCACCTTTATTAATAGCCCCAGAAAGACTGGGCCATCCTATCTACAAGACAAAAGGCCAGGGTGATAGGATTAGCTCTAACTCAAGATCCAAAGCAGGAGAAAGCCATTAGGCCATAATAGGAATTGCCCAACACCCTTTCAGAACATAACCAGGGATGGGTTTCTATCGGTCCTGTCCACCTCTGTAGAACCGGTAGCTCTGAAGAGCAGCAAACATAGAACCGGTTCTATGTCTGCAGATGTTTTTGCACACCAGGGCTCTTGCCTGATCTTCATTTCCTGATTTTTCAACTTCAGCTGCCAAACGAGGCACAGTTGCAGTTAAAAAAGCAGGAAAAGAGGGCTGCTTCAAAGGCTGCTTCTCTGCACGCAGCGCCAGCTTGCAGCATGCAGGGAAGCACATCATAAGTCACCGAACTTTGTAAATCCTGAAGCGGTAGTTAACCCTCTCGTATCCCACCCCTGAACGTAACCCTCTTTATTACCTCATCACCCAGCAAGATTCAACCAAGCCTGGGACACAGACTGCCTACAAGGTTAGCTAGATCCCTGCATAGCCCCCAGGGGTCTGACAACCATAGGATACATTTCTTGCAAGGCCCAAGAGAGGGTATAAATATATCTCACTCGCTAGTACTCCATGTGGTCATTTACCCAGAATCACATGTGCTTGGTGGTTCTGGTTCACCATTGAACCATCATTCCAAGCAGCCTCCATGTTTCCAGTATCTTTCTTCCCACTTGGAACTGAACCCAGATGGACATTTCTTCCAACAAAAGAATAGGAAAAATAATGAGTTTTCATGCTTATTTGTTCACAATTAAAAGATGCCAACAAAATGTACATGTTTATTCAGACCTTTTATGGTTGTATAATATGCTTTTTAAATAATGTTTAGATTACTTAGTTGTTTATAATTCTTGCTGAGGGCCTTCTGTTGGCAAAAAGGCAGACTATACATCCCATAAACAAATAAACACAATAGAAAGTGTTGTATAATACATATTGCAAGTGAATATTCAATATTTTTGGCCATAGTAAAGGAAAGGAAACTCTGCATTTGTTCAGTGGCACAAACCTCAAAGTTATAGAAATTCTGTCCCAGAGCAGCATAAGTATTTCCACTCTCAGGTTTGTATTTTACTGTATGAACTTAGGAAGAGAGTTCAAAATGATGTAATCTCTTTTTCCCAGTTATGAATATACTCCCACTCACTCAATTTTTCCCTGGGGGCGTGGAACACATTTCCTGACATTTTGCACATTCAGTAGTAAAAGATTCTAGGCCAAGACCTACCACTTTCATTGAAACTCTAGGCTGCCATCTAATGGTAACACAAGAAAACTGGAATTTTATCACAACTTGGATGAGAAGTGGAACATTTTCAAAGGAAAAAAAAACCCCAATAAA